AAGTGAGAAAAGTTTATTTTTGTTTAATGAACGATATCATAATTTTGTTACACTCTCCTTAAATACAAAATAAATTAATTAAATCTAAGTTTGAGTAGCTTTGACTCTCCATATTTTGGCACTATTTGTCAAATAATAAGTCACTGTCGACATTTATTGAGAAACAATTTTGACATTTTTTATTTCCATAGCAAACTACACGAAAACGAATGTGGCTAATAACAGATTTTCGGCAGTCTGAACAAAAAGTCATCATAACTTAAAAATTATTAAATTTAGGTGTAGGAAATGTTAATACAGATCGATACAGAATTAAATTCTCCTCCATTTAGTATAATAAAAATTGGGGTATTTCATTTGAAAAAATTTAGTTATGGGTATTTGAATTATTACAAAAGTAACCTTAAAATTTTATGGTTTGTTAATTTTTTTTTCAAAATTTAGAACACCGAAAGAAAGATCTAAACTTTCTCTTTCAAACGCCAAAAAATAGCAAAATTACCGGTTTTTAAAGTGGAAGGTGCTAATCCAAAATTTTTTGAAAAACTCCAAATATTTCAAAAACGGCTAAATTTAGGTATAGGGAAAGCTGATGAAAATTCCCTTAAAATAACCCAATTAATCTAAAAACGCAGTAAAAAATATACCTTTTTATTTAAAATAAGAATGTTGAGACCTACTTCCGGTATAAGCGAAAGTGCCGCCATCTTGAAAATATTTTCATTTAGGAGGACTTAATGGTTTATGGCTATGTACCAATTTTCAAATAAATACGATTATTGCAACTAACAATACTTCTAAAGTGGGATTTAGACGGAACACCCTGTATATAAATTTCTAACAATTTTAATATTTATATTATTTAATATTTAATAAATGGACTTTACCAACTCGGTGGAACACCTTGTATATTCTTTTAGTTAATTCCAGTTGCTAGGTAACAATTATCCTCAATCGTGAGAGAAAGAATGTTGTTAAGAGACGATTTTTTAACAAGTGATGTTGTCGAGTAACGATTTTTTTAGCTGTTGCAGGAATAAAAAATAAATAAAATTCTCTTCCATTCAACTTTTCTATTGCGGATTTGTTTCGCTTGATCGTTTCAAAGATGCGCTCTTGAATTCTCACGATCTCGGTTTTTCCTCTAATTGCGCAACTGCACTATTTCACAGTCATTAGTTAAGCCGGATTTGCGCATTGTTGTGTTTTCAAGCCGGAGGCCGAAGAAGTTGATTTATTGTTTTGCGCATTTTCGGGGCAATTTCCGATCGAGGAAAAGAAAGCGACGCATAAATTTTATGTGAAATATAATAATCGGTGGCGTACGGAAGAGAGTCGGACTTTAGAAAATATCTAATTAATTCCGCGAGAATTCTGATTGAAATGCAATACAAGAGTTGACTGAATGAATGAAGATTCTCTAGACAATAATTACGTCACGATATACATCAATTTAATTGACATTTCAATTCCGTTGACTTTCTAATAACTTCCTTTCTGAAATACTGAAAGAAATAGGCGCCGGTCAACGACACGACTGAAAAATCAAACCGGCGATCAAGTAACCGTGACTTTATATCAAGGCACGCCTGGATTGAAGAAAAAATTCACGGCCGACGACTGTTTTCAGTGAAAATAATTTTCTATCAGTAATTTTCAGGATTTGGTAAGAGTTAATTAAAGTGTTGCGAGGTATTTCAGCGCAATAATCACGTGTGGTGTGTACTTAGCTAATTATCTATAATTTTATTGATTATTGATTTACGTAATTATGGGGTAAAGCTGTAAAGTCGAGTCTAATTTATTGAAGATCACAAAGTTTCGAGAGATTAACTCTTCAAGGCGCTTGTCCTTGATCTACTCACATTTCCACATTCGGATTTACGAAGAATGAATTAAAAAAAAAATGAAACGGATGTGTTTCGTTTGAAGACAGGCAATTTTTTTCATTACAAAAGGAAACGCCGTTTCAGGATTTTTGTTTGGGAACATTCATTTGGGTAAGATTATACGGAGTGAGATTTATTATAATCGTTACGTAAAAATTATTGAATTCTTGTTACATTTTTTACCTGAAGGAAGATGAAACATAAAAATCGAGAGTATGTTAACTCCGGAGTTAGTAGTTCAAATTTTTGAATTGTTGAAATTACTGAAATTATTTGTGAACTACCGGAATTTTTTTGGAATTACTTACTAAACTTCTTTTTAAAATTGCTGGAATTTTTCTAGAATCATTTTTGAATACGTTGAATTTCTTAGAAATATTGGAAGTATTTTGAAATCATTTTGGAATTCAGAAAATTAAATTGGAATTACAAAAATTAGTTGAAATTATAAGAATTAATCTAAAAATAATGGAATAACGGTAGATTATTGGAATTACTAGAATTTCGGTGGAATTACTGGAATTCTTTTTGGAATTGCTAGAATTTTTTAAATATACGTTGAGTTTCTTAAGAGTTTGAGAATTAAATTAGAAATTATTTTAAAACTACAAGAATTAATTTGGAATTATAAGAACTAATCTGAAAATAATAGACTTAGAATAGATTTTTAAAATTACTAAAATTTCGGTGAAATTTTTAAGAAATTACTAGAATTCTTTGTGAGTTATTGTAATTTTTCTAAAATTACAGAGTGGAATTCCAAGAATTATTTTTGGAAATGCTAAGTATTTTTTGAAATTATCAGAAGTATTTATTTTTAATTACGTTGAAAGACTTACGATAGATTATTAAAATTACTAAAATTTAATTTTTTTATGAAATTACTAAAATTATTTGTGAATTATTGTAATTTTCCTAAAATTACTGGATGGAATTCTTGGAATCATTTTTGAAAATGCTAATTTTTACCTTGAATTTCTCAGAACTATTGGAAGTAATTTGAAATTATTTTAGAATTCAAAAAATTAAATTGTAATTACAAAAATTAGTTTGAAATTATAAGAATTAATCTAAAAATAATGGAATTACGGTAGATTATTGGAATTACTAGAATTTCGGTGGAATTGCTAGAATTTTTTTGGGATTATCAAAAAAATATATATATTTTTTAAATATACTTTGAGTTTCTTAGGAGTATGGGAATTAATTTGAAATTACAGAAATTATTTTAAAACTGCAAGAATTAATTTGGAATTATAAGAACTAATCTGAAAATAATAAACCTACGATAGATTATTAAAATTACTAAAATTTCAGTGAAATTTTTAAGAAATTACTTAAATTC